TCCGGATGATTCGGCTAAATTCACGTTCTCAGTCCCGGCCATCAATGCTTGTGAACCCCGTCGCAGGTTCCAATGGAAGGTGCTTCCCCAGGGGATGAAAAATTCTCCTACACTATGCCAGATGTTTGTGGCAAAAGTGTTGGAGCCAATCCGGAAAAGATTCCCACAGTCAATCATCTTCCATTATATGGATGATGTATTGATCTGTGCCAAAACAAAATTGGCAGTTGAGCAAACTTTAAATTCAACAATTTCGGCTTTAAATTCTAATGGATTGGAGGTATCCCCTGAAAAAGTGCAAAGGGAAGCACCATGGAGGTATCTCAGACTCCAAATTACTTCAAAAACTATTAAACCTCAATCAGTGGTAATTGACAAGAAAGTCCAAACTTTAAATGGCCTCCAGAAACTGTTGGGAGCGATCAATTGGATCCGACCAGTGCTGGGGATCACAACTGGTGATTTGCACCCCTTGTTTGAATTTCTCAAAGGAGATGCAGACTTGTCCTCCCCCAGATTTTTAACATCCGAAGCAGAACAAGCCCTTTCCACAGTTGAAAACAAAATCTCAGAGAGACAATCTTACAGAAAGATGGAGGGACTGCCATCTTCCCTAGTTATCATCAGGGAACAACAACAACCACTGACCATACTGGGTCAATATACAAGTGATACAAAGGACTTCTGTTGGTGGGAGTGGATATTCCTCCCACATCAATTTTCAAAAACTATTGTTACATTGGCTGAAATGATTGGCAAATTAATTTTTAAAGGACGCACCAGGTGTTTGGAACTCAGTGGGGAGGAGCCAGGTTGCATTTACCTCCCACTGACTTCGGAACACCTGGAAAAACTGATGCAGAATTCCATGGATTTTCAGATTGCCATCGGAGGCTACCCGGCAAAAGTCAAATTTCACCTCCCGGCATGCCAATTTTTGCAGAATTGATCCCAATTCCATTAAAATTAAAAATTATGCAATCAGACCTTCCAATAAAGAATGCCAAAACTATTTTCACTGATGGATCTGGGAGAACCAGAAACGCGGTAATTGTTTGGCGAGAAGATGGCAATTGGCGACAGAATATTCATAAAGCTCAGGGTTCTCCACAAATCGTGGAATTGTCAGCAGTTGTTTGCGCCTTCGAAATTTTCAACAGTGAACCAATTAATATCGTATCAGATTCGGCATACGTTGTGGGCATTGTCAAAAGAATCGAAAATTCGTATTTGAAAGAAGTATCTAATGAAAAACTTTTTAATTTGTTTAAAAAAATTGCTATTCTTAATTCAAGACAGGAAATTTGGTGACTATATTGTCCACACAAGGTCTCACACTACTTTGCCAGGTCCTGTGGCGAAAGGGAACCAGATTGCTGACCATCTAGCAGGTATGGTTGTTACCCCCAATTTATACCAGCAAGCGAAAATCTCCAACGAATTTTTTCACCAGAATGCGCTGTCTCTACAAAAGCAATTCAGCTTAAAACTGGCTCAAGCAAAAGAAATTTTA